ACAACAGCTATAATTAGGTTAATACCCGAAATCAGACAATAATCATTTCCATTTTAGTACATCGTGGACACATTCTTTTATTCCGACATTATTTACCGGGGTACAATATTAAGTGCGATGACTGCCATTTTTATATTTCTTGTCCAGGGATTTGCTAAAACACGCAAATGACTATTACATGTAACAGTAAGCAATTGAAATTAATCATATTAACATGCTATAATTTTGCTTGAGATATTGTTGTAAAAAATAAATTTAATTGAGAGTACATTCACAATTTAACAGTCATCAGGAATTTCACAGTTTTGTTTGTTCAATGATGCACAGCACTAATACTGATATAAAACAAAAAAGTTATGACTAGCGGTATATTTGGTAAATAATTTTAGGAATTTACCGGCAACACTTTATTTCACACATTTTACATTTAAATAAATATCACAAGACAATGAAAAAATATTAAGGTATACTATTTCAATTAATCGTTACAAATAAATGGTAAAAAAAAAAAATTCAATTGCGATTGTGAAAACTCCTCCGTATTTTAAACTTTGATACGGTTGCGGTTTTATTTTTAGTAAACGATTGCGACTTCCAACTTTACAAGATGGACACAGCATGTTGTAAATATACTTTGAGAAATTATTGATATAATAAGTTTTTTTGTACATCGACGGACATTTAATGGAACTTATTTTGTAAGAAATCAATGGAATAAATATTTAATTCTTTATCGTTTTTTTTCCTCGGTAAAGTAATTTTAAAAAATACAAAAATGGCACAGATTTGCTTTAAAATTGACGTAAATTTTACTGATTTTGGGGCATTTTTCGTAAACTTGGGCCTTAGATAGGTCGATTCGTTAAATTGGACGACCCCAGCAGTTCTGAGAAAAAAAGTATCGTCCTATCTTCCAAAACTTATGGTATATCAAAAATAAAAGGCTGGCCATCAAATGACATATGCTATAAACTGACAAGCAGTTCTTCTGTCTAATTCTCAAAGGATACAGATAAGAGCTGCTTGATCAGAGAACCTCTAACAGAAATGATTGAGACAGCTAGCCTTCCTACACTGAACTCATTAATTAATCTTTAACTGGATGCATGTCCACTCATTACTCCCAGGATGAATGGATCTATACATACTATCTGCTTTGTAGTGCAATAAAAATGCATATTTATGTCATTCTGATATTAAATTTGAAAACAAAGATTTTCTTTTTATTTGTTACTAACATTTATAAAAAGAAAAAAACTTGTGTAATCTTGATGCAATATTTTTAATAAGGTTCCTGCATTACTCTTAGATTTGTAGGGACTATCTACCATAATTAAAACATTTTTTTAAATACTTGATTATTTTTAGATTTAATGTCAGACTGGTTTTAAGCTGCAATTCATACAGACAATGGGCATGCTGATTCCAATACCCCCCCCCCCCCCCCAAGTATAATTAGTTTTAATTATATTATACAATATCAATTAGTTTATTATACAATATCAAATTAATTTATTATACAATATCATATAAGTTTTAATTACTGTTCACCAAATTCATTTTCAAAGTTAGGCTAGCCAACTATTTAATCCAACAGGGCTGATTCTTTTTACCCAGTTCTCAAGAGATATAGATAACACCTGCTTGATCAGAGATGCTCTACCAGTTAGCTCCTCACACTCAACACTAATTTCTCTCTAATTTGACATGCAATTTTCTGTTATCAAATTCTCCTTGACCAGTGCTTGATAATTACACCCATGGGAGAGGTGGAATTTCTCTTGTAACATTACATTTGTTATAGATTGCTGTAAAGTATATAATGAAAAAATAAGTATTTTCTTGATTTAACATATTTTTAATAAGGATACTGCAACACTCTTGCATTTTTTGGGATTGTATAATCTAATAGTAAAAAGAGAGTTTTATTTTTAAATTTCACGTAAATTAAAGGTCACAGTGACCTTGAAATAGGTCGCGACACACCTTCTACCTAAGATGCATAAATTGGCCAAGTTTGATGATTCTAAGTCTAATAGTTTTCTAGTTATGAGCCGGACAGGATTTTTCCATATTTGGCCATAGCATCTTAATTAAAGGTCAGAGCGACCTACTTTTAGTGCGCGACACACCTTCTACCCAAGAAGTATCAGCTGACAAAGTTTGATAATCCTAGGCCTAATAGTATTAAAGTTATGAGCCGGACACGAGAAAAGCTAACAGACAGACAGACGGACATGAACGCCATAACATAATATGTCCCGTCTAAAGACGGGCGTATAAAAACTTACAAAACAAAATTTGCACATTTCTTACCATACAATCACACAGGATTAAAACCGCAAACGACTGAGCCTGATACACAAAGGATCTCTCATGTTACATGAACAATCATGCACGTTACACGAATAACTCTACATGACTGGTTTGTCAACAATAATGTTGAAGCCACTGTAACCGTTATCAGTCAAGTGGTGTGTGAGGACAAACCCTGCAAATATCTTAAGTGGGTGCAAGCAATAAGAAAAATCAGTCAAACTGTAGAGAACTAGGCCTAATACTACACTGTTGGCTTTTGAATGCTGGACAACGGTGTCAACAATTGACGTCTGAATACTGTGACATCATAAAAGTTGATTGCTTCACCACACCATTGGACTTTGGTGTGTCAGACCATCGCACTTTAGTGCATTGCGTCTCATAGAAAATGAGACATTAGACTTTGGCAACCATTTCCACACTAAATCATTGTGGTTTGGCGCAGATCATCGGACTTTGGTTTGACCAAGGGGCTTTGGAGTCTTACATATACATGTAGTCTATAATTAACAAGAGGCCCATGGGCCACAATGCTCACCTGAGTAACTTTAGCCCTGCTGTTCTTCACCAGGTTTCCCCCTTGCAATACTCAATGTGGCCCAACACTACCCCAGAAGGCCATGATTTGAACAATTTAGAATCTACACAACCCCAGGAAGCTTCCACATAAGTTAAGTTTTTCTAGCCCAAGGGTTCTTGAGAAGAAGATTTTTAAAAAGATTTTTCCTATATATTTTAATGAAAAAACTAGGATTCCCTATTGTGGCCCCACCCTACTTCCTGGGGCCATGATTTTAACAATTTAAAATTTACACAATATCAGGATGCTTCCACATAAGTTTCAGATTTTCTGGCCCAGTGGTTCTTGAGATTTTTTAATGACCCCACCCTATTTTTGTGTTTTCTTATTTACCTCCCCTTGGAAGGGAGCTTGGCCCTTCATTTCAACAATTTAAATTTCCCTTCACCCAAAGAAGCTTTGTACCAACTTTGATTAAAATTGGCTCAGTGGTTCTTGAGAAGAAGATGAAAATGTGAAAAGTTTACAGACAAATGGATGGACAGACAGATGGATGACAGACAACAGGTGATCAGAAAAGCTCATTTGAGCTTTCAGCTCAGGTGAGCTAAAAACTACTTGAGGTCTAGAAAATTTCAGCGTTCAGTATCTTGGCATTTTAATAAACGCTGAGTTTGCTATACATATATGTCTCAAAACATTCCGAATGTGAGTGTTCAACATGAAAAACCCTGTTATAAACAAAATATGTAATGTGGTCAACCGCTAATGGCAATATTTATGATGAATAGTGGCAGCTAAGTTAGATGTGTCTAATTTCACACAAAATTAAAATTATTAATTTAGTACCTAAAAGCCTAAATAAAAATCTAAATAAGCAAATTATAACGCTTGGTAGGGTCATTGGAATAATGTGATATTGAACACTTTCAGGACAGCTGACACTGATACTGAAAATTCTCATTAATTTTCAGTTATTTATTTTAAAAAAATCAATATAAACTAATGGGACAATGTTTTTGCTATACAACAAAGGAGTTACTGAACTTATATTGGTGAATATTGGCACTCATTGGCTGTACAAATGCACTCACAACTCGTGCATTTGTACAGCCAACTCATGCCAATATTCACCTTATTATGCTTCCTGTCAGTTTGTCTCTATATAACCAATACCCAACTATTTTTGCATAGTGTTCTAAGGGTTTATATAGCATAAACATACTATGCTGAAATAGTGAATGGTTTCTTTTTCTGAAGAAAATCCGACACCACCCAGTGTGCGCCCATGCCGGGGATCGAACTCATGACCTCGAGATTGTCAGTCCGATGTGCTACCAATAACGCCACAGATGCCATTACTTATAACATTGTATTTCCATATATATAAACTTAGTTTCAAATATTTGACACTAATAGAAAAAAATAAACAAAATAATTTGTTCTTAAATAGTTTCTTGCTTTTTTTCCCCTATATAAACTTAGTTTCAAATATTTGACACTAATAGAAAAAAATAAACAAAATAATTTGTTCTTAAATAGTTTCTTGCTTTTTTTCCCCTTCACTCAACTAAATTTTTTGAAATTATCTGTACATTATACATTTTTGCATAAAACACTCAAAATTAAAAAAAGATTATGATGTACATGTAGCATGATGTGACGTCATAATAGGGGTGCACTAACATGTTTGTAAGAGGTGATGAAACATTGGAAAAGAAAATATTGTCATTTTTATACAACAGTCAGCATAATAATAACAATAGTTTTATGTTTTGCATGCCCCTGGCTTGTGCACCATGTATCATATCCTGACTACTATTTAGGCACGGTGCATGCAAAACACAACACTATTATATAAGTTCAATAACCCTATAATATTTAATATTGTAGGATGGAGTATTGCAAAACACAGAACTGTCATGAATTGAATCAGAATTTTCTTGGAAAAGATGAACCTCTATTCAAAGGTCATCTCTGCAAAAAAGTCACTTTTACTGGTTCCCACAGGTGATTTCTTAAAACAGATTTGACCTACATAAACATGTGTGTGTGTGTATGTGAATAGTGCCCATTATGGTGATTTTTTTCTTCAAATGCCAGGCCTGTTTTCCTTATAAATCTGCCATTGATGTTACCAGTAAAATGAATTGTACAATACCTTAACCAGAGGTACATGTCCAAAATTTCATATACTTCCTCCAGTTTTGTTAGACTTTTGATAGTTTTTGGAAGTAGCCATGGGTAGTCTGTCTGTACTAAAAGCCATTTACAGTCAATAGGGGTCCCATTGCTGTAGCTCCGAGCAAACTACAAAAGATATAATATCTATTTGTATAACCTGCTAATGCTACTCACATCCATTACCTGTTATGCTATTCCCTAGTAATGCTACTTACATCCATACCTGTTAAAACTACTCACATCCATACCGTTTTAGACGGTGGCTATTTATAGCCACAGGCTATTGCTGCTGCTTTTAGGCTATAAATAACAACAGTGTAAAATCACAGGGACCCTAGCGGCAATTTTTGCAGAGTAAAAATAATGAAAATAGGGTTGATTCAATGTTTGAAAAAAAAAATGCACATAGTTAAGATATACTCTCAAGTTATTTCAAAGATATTTTGTTGATGGACACAGAGCTTAATTCCTGATATTTGCCGTTATTGATATTTCTCGCTTGAGTTCATGAATATTCATTAAATTACGCCGACCTATAACTAATTCGTACACAGACTGACTCATATATTCGTATGCAAACTACAGAAATTTAACATTGTGTAAGTGTAAAATTTAAGTAATATTTATTAATAGTCAGAATATTTAAGGGAAAAATATTTGAGAATAATGGTTTCACATTTTAACTTTGAAATCAAATAATTATAATTGCTAAACAAACGCACGGTGGTTTCTTAGTTACATGTATGCAACAAACGGTAATTACGAGACGTTCCCAATTTGATACTCCCTAATTATGAGATACTTCATGCTAGGAAAGCGTTGATCTCCAAATTTCTCCAATTCCAAAAGTACAATATGATTCGAGGATTTCACATTCCTCGTTCCAGAATTGCATGTTTTATAACTGTTTTATTTGAGATGTTTGTGGAATTTTTATACAATAAAACTTGTAAAGTTAACTGTAATTATGTTCCCCAAACGAAGTTTGGGAACATATTGTTTTTACTCTGTTTCTTATTATTAAGGTCTTCCGTCTCCAACGGAAGACCTTATTGTTTTCGTTCGGTTTCTTTTTCCCTATTATTATTAAGGTCTTCCGTCTCCAACGGAAGACCTTATTGTTTTCGTTCGGTTTCTTTTTCCCTATTATTATTATTATTATTATTATTCTTACCGATTTTGTGCACGCAAGTTCTCGAAAACATCTTGGCCGATTTTCATGAAACTTTCAGGTCTGATAGGTATTGATCTGAACCTTATTGGAAATTTTTTTCGTTGATGACGTCACTTTCTATCTCGAGATAATTAGGATTTTCTGATTTTTAGAGGGTCGGCTTGTCCTGGAAACTCCTCCGAAACGACTTACGATATTGAGGCAAGATTTTCAGTGAGGGTAGGGGAAGGTTGGTAGATTTGCAGGCAGGTGTCCAAATCTCTCTAGCGCAAAAGGCGCCGAAGCTCGGTAGGGCTCAAAAAATGTCTCAGAAACATCTCACAAAATTTTACACCTTTTCTTTCATATCTTCATACCTGTTAAGAATTTGTTAAAACATATAGAAGAAAAGTTGTGCAGAATGATACGACCTTTCATTTGATATCAAGAAAAAGGGGCTGACCCCTCAAATTAGGGGCTCAGAGGGGCCAAAAGTCTTTCATCTATAACTCTATAACGATCAATAATTTGTAATACATTACTGAAGCAAAGATCCTTATTTTAACGATTTACAACAATATCCGATAAGATTCTGATCATATGTTACGTAATAAGGGGTCACAAGGGGCCAGAATGCTAAATCTTTGAGGCTTTATATCTCGAAAAGGGGGAATATTTTGATAAGCAATACTGAACAAAAGATAGTCAGAATAATGTTCTAAACAATATGAACCCTTTCAGTTTTTGTCAAACGGCCCCATTAAGGACTTGGAGGGGTGTCCCCTAAATATTTCCATTCAGCATATCTCCATAACGAAAAGAAATCTCTGAATAGTTGTTGAACAAAAAGTCTTCAAAATCACAAGATCTTTTATTTGATCTCAAGAAAAAGGGGCTGACCCCTCAAATTAGGGGCTCAGAGGGGCCAAAAGTCTTTCATCTATAATTCTTTAACGATCAATAATTTGTAATACATTACTGAAGCAAAGATCCTTATCTTAACGATTTACAACAATATCTGATAAGATTCTGATCATATGTTACGTAATAAGGGGTCACAAGGGGCCAGAATGCTAAATCTTTGAGGCTTTATATCTCGAAAAGGGGGAATATTTTGATAAGCAATACTGAACAAAAGATAGTCAGAATAATGTTCTAAACAATATGAACCCTTTCAGTTTTTGTCAAACGGCCCCATTAAGGACTTGGAGGGGTGTCCCCTAAATATTTCCATTCAGCATATCTCCATAACGAAAAGAAATCTCTGAATAGTTGTTGAACAAAAAGTCTTCAAAATCACAAGATCTTTTATTTGATCTCAAGAAAAAGGGGCTGACCCCTCAAATTAGGGGCTCAGAGGGGCCAAAAGTCTTTCATCTATAATTCTTTAACGATCAATAATTTGTAATACATTACTGAAGCAAAGATCCTTATCTTAACGATTTACAACAATATCTGATAAGATTCTGATCATATGTTACGTAATAAGGGGTCACAAGGGGCCAGAATGCTAAATCTTTGACGCTTTATATCTCGAAAAGGGGGAATATTTTGATAAGCAATACTGAACAAAAGATAGTCAGAATAATGTTCTAAACAATATGAACCCTTTCAGTTTTTGTCAAACGGCCCCATTAAGGACTTGGAGGGGTGGCCCCTAAATATTTCCATTCAGCATATCTCCATAACGAAAAGAAATCTCTGAATAGTTGTTGAACAAAAAGTCTCCAAAATCACAAGATCTTTTATTTGATCTCAAGAAAAAGGGGCTGACCCCTCAAATAAGGGGCTCAGAGGGGCCAAAAGTCTTTCATCTATAACTTTATAACGATCAATAATTTGTAATACATTACTGAAGCAAAGATCCTTATTTTAACGATTTACAACAATATCCGATAAGATTCTGATCATATGTTACGTAATAAGGGGTCACAAGGGGCCAGAATGCTAAATCTTTGAGGCTTTATATCTCGAAAAGGGAGAATATTTTGATAAGCAATACTGAGCAAAAGATGGTCAGAATAATGTTCTAAACGATATGCACCCTTTCAATTTTTGTCAAACGGCCCCATTAAGGACTTGGAGGGGTGGCCCCTAAATATTTCCATTCAGCATATCACCATAACGAAAAGAAATCTCTGAATAGTTGTTGAACAAAAAGTCTTCAAAATCACAAGATCTTTTATTTGATCTCAAGAAAAAGGGGCTGACCCCTCAAATTAGGGACTCAGAGGGGCCAAAAGTCTTTCATCTATAACTCTATAACGATCAATAATTTGTAATACATTACTGAAGCAAAGATCCTTATTTTAACGATTTACAACAATATCTGATAAGATTCTGATCATATGTTACGTAATAAGGGGTCACAAGGGGCCAGAATGCTAAATCTTTGAGGCTTTATATCTCGAAAAGGGGGAATATTTTGATAAGCAATACTGAACAAAAGTTGGTCAAAATAATGTTCTAAACAATATGAACCCTTTCAGTTTTTGTCAAACGGCCCCATTAAGGACTTGGATGGGTGTCCCCTAAATATTTCCATTCAGCATATCTCCACAACAAAAAGAAATCTCTGAATATTTCTTGAACAAAACGTTTTCAAAATCACAAGACCTTTCAATTGATATCAAGAAAAAAGGGGCTGACCCCTCAAACTAGGGGCTGAGAGGGACCAAAAGCATGTCATCTATAGCTTTTTTAATAATGTTATATAAATCAAAAGAATGGAATCTAATTAGGGAAGTCTATATATTATTATCTTTTAACAAAGATCATAGTCAAAATTGTATCTCATCTTATCGAAAAATCGGACGGAAGACCTACTCGTTGCTCGCAACGAGATCTCATCTAGTTATTATTATTATTCTTACCGATTTTGTGCACGCAAGTTCTCAGTAACGTCTTGGCCGATTTTCATGAAACTTTCAGATCTGATAGGTATTGATCTGAACCTTATTGGAAATTTTTTTCGTTGATGACGTCACTTTCCATCTCGAGATATTTAGGATTTTCTGATTTTCAGAGGGTCGGCTTGTCCTGGAAACTCCTCCGAAACGACTTAAGATATTGAGTCACGATTTTCAGTGAAGGTAGGGGAAGGTTTGTAGATTTGCAGGCAGGTGTCCAAATCTCTCTAGCGCAAAAGGCGCCGAAGCTCGGTAGGGCTCAAAAAATGTCTCAGAAACATCTCACAAAATTTTACACCTTTTCTTTTATATCTTTACACATGTTAAAAAATTGTTAAAACATATAAAAGAAAAGATGTGCAGAATGATACGACCTTTCATTTGATATCAAGAAAAAGGGGCTGACCCCTCAAATTAGGGGCTGAGCAGGGCCAAAAGTCTTCCATCTTTAACTCTTTAACGATCAGTAATTTGTAATACATTACTGAAGCAAAGATGTTTATCTTAACGATTTACAACAATATATGATAAGATTCTGATCATATGTTACGTAATAAAGGGTCAAAAGGGGCCAGAATACTAAATCTTTGATGCTTTATATCTCGAAAAGGGAGAATATTTTGATAAGCAATACTGAACAAAAAAAGATCAGAATAATGTACTTAACAATATGCACCCTTTCAATTTTTTTCAAACGGCCCCATAAAGGACTTGGAGGGGTGGCCCCTAAATATTTTCATTCAGCATATCTCCATAACGAAAAGAAATCTCTGAATAGTTGTTGAACAAAAAGTCTTCAAAATCACCAGACCTTTCATTTGATATCAAGAAAAAGGAGCTGACCCTTCAAATTAGGGGCTCAGAGGGGGCCAAAAATCTTTCATTTTTAACTTTTTAACGATCAATAATTTGTAATACATTACTGAAGCAAAGATGTTTATCTTAACGATTTACAACAATATATGATAAGATTCTGATCATATGTTACATAATAAAGGGTCAAAAGGGGCCAGAATACTAAATCTTTGATGCTTTATATCTCGAAAAGGGAGAATATTTTGATA